ATATGGGCAAGCCCGTATTGTGCCCATATGAGCATGCCCAGGTTTATCCCATATGACGCCCACACAAGGGCGGATCCAGAACACAATTTTTGGGGGGGCCAAAAAAAATTTTGGTCCCCCCCCAAAAAAAGTGGGTCTAAAAATTTTTTTGGATTCTAGATGCTCTGTGGTGCGATCTGAGGCAATTTCTGAACACTTTAACCAATTTTTTTGAGGAAAAGATGGTGGTGTACTCATTGCCTGCCTTTATTGCGATGTCACATTAAAAAATAAAAAAAATTGGTTTCGTTTTTGGGGGGGGGGGCCATGGCCCCCTTTGGCCCCCCCCTGGATCCGCCCTTGCGCCCACATGGATCAGCCCGTATTTTCCCCACATGGGCTTGCCAAGCTTTTTCCCTAATGACACCAGTATGGGCCAGCCCATATTTTGCCCATAAGAGCGTGCCCAGGTTTATCCCATATGATGCCCACATGGGTCAGCCAGTATTTTTCCGTCATTGGCTTGCCCAGCTTTTCTCCTAATCACACCCATACGGGCAAGCCCGTATTGTGCCCATATGAGCGTGCCCAGGTTGATCCCATATGACGCCCACATGGATCAGCCCGTATTTTCCCCACATGGGCTTGCCCAGCTTTTTCCCCAATGACACCCGTATGGGCCAGCCCATATTTTGCCCATATGAGCGTGCCCAGGTTTATCCCATATGACGCCCACATGGGTCAACCCGTATTTTCCCGACATGGGCTTGCCCAGCTTTTTCCCCAATGACACCCATATGGGCCAGCCTGTATTTTGCCCATATGAGCGTGCCCAGGTTTATCCCATATGACGCCCACATGGGTCAGCCCGTATTTTCCCCACATGGGCTTGCCCAGCTTTTTTCCTAATGACACCCATATGGGCCAGCCCGTATTTTGCCCATATGAGCGTGCCCAGATTTATCCCATATGACGCCCACATGGGTCAGCCCGTTGCGGACGAGTACTCGGTCTCCAGGTTGAAGAACAGAGCTGCGAGCCTTCTGGTCATGGTATTTTCTGCCTCTTTCAGTAGACTTGGCTGCATGCTGAGATGCAATGGAGTAGGCCTCTTCCATTTGCGCCTTCCATTTCCTCACAAACTGGTTGTGGTCTTCAGCACCTGGTCCAAGTTGTGGGTTCAGCCCAAAGGCAGCGTCAACTGGTAAGCGGGGAGATCGTCCATACAGGAGGAAAAATGGGGAGAACCCTGTAGCTGCATTTGTTGTGCAATTGTATGCATGAATGACTTTCTGGAGAGATTCTTTCCAATTAGCCTTCTGTTCCATGGTAAGGGTCCTCAACATGGTCAGTAGTGTCCTGTTCAGTCTTTCGCACTGTCCATTTCCCTAGGGGTGGTATGGTGTTGTTCTCAAACTTGCCACACCTGCGAGTTGCTGAAGGTGTTTGAAAAGTCGGTTCTCAAACTCACCCCCGGTCATGATGAATGCGGTGTGGATAGCCAAAACGAAGGACAAAATCGTTGAATATTTTGTCAGCTACAGTTCTGGCAGATTTGTCTTTGGTTGCATATGCCTGGGCGAATCTTGTGAAGTTGTCAACAATCACCAGGATGTATTCAAATCCGCCCTTGCTCCTCTCTAGATGAACAAAGTCAATGGAGATGACCTCAAATGGTGCTGTGGTGACAATCGTACCCAAGGGTTCTCTGGTGTGTTGTGCAGGCTTTCGGTCTCTGAGGCATGGACACACTTTCATGCAGTAGTGTTCGATGTCACGCTGCATATGGGGCCAGTAAAAACGATCTCTGGCAAGGTCGAGGACACGACTTGCACCAAGATGTCCCATGTTGTCATGGAGCTCCCTGTATGCAACTGGTCGCAGTGTTTCTGGAAGGATCATCTGGGCCCGCACTCCCTTCTTCCTAAAGAGGAGTCCATCTTCAAGGCTGAGATGTTTCCAGTCGCGGAGTAACGCAACAACATCTGAGGGGTCCTTGGCCAGTTCCTTCCGCGTTGGGCGTGTTCCTCTCTGGAGGTACCGGATAACTCTTGCAGTTACTGGGTCCTCCTGCTGTGCTCTCTGAATGTCTCCTTTGTCCATCACTTGGCCACTGGTAGTAGGAGTTGACAAATCAGGGTTCACATTGATTGCTGCAGCCCAGGTGACTTCATCCATGTTTACAGCTTGAAGAGCATTGACAGTGGTGCCAATCTCATCCCGGGAGACTTCACTTGTGCATACCTTGATGTAGCTATCTATGTCGAGGGGCATTCTGGACAAGGTGTCTGCCTCTGCATTGTTTTTCCCAGGGCGGTACTTTATTGTAAAGTGGTAATCTGCAAGTTCTGCAACCCATCGGTGTCCAGTAGCGTTGAGACGAGCAGAAGACAGTACATATGTCAAGGGATTATTGTCTGTGTACATGGTGAATGGGGCAGAGTAATATAGGTAGTCCCTAAACTTCTCCGTTATGGCCCATTTGAGTGCCAGAAACTCCAACTTTCCTGAGTGGTAGTGGTAGTTCTCAGCTGGACTGAGGGTGCGGGAACCATAGGATATCACACGCATCTTGCCTTGTAGCCTCTGGTACAGCACTGCACCCAGCCCTTCACATGAAGCATCGGTGTGGACGATGAATGGTTTCTTGTAATCTGGGAACGCCATGATTGGAGGAGAGACTAGGCAACCCAGGATCTTATCCAGTACCTGTTGATGATGATCTGCCCAGTCAATCTTCTGTTTGGAGAGCTTTTGCACTGACCTCGTTTTGAGATTGGTCTTTGTCTTGGTTTTCATCTTCTGCTTACTCTGCTCGAAACTTGGTTCCACCTTCAGTAGGTCGTAGAGAGGTCTGGCAATACGAGAAAAGTCCTGGATATAGCTGCGATAGTACCCAAGTAGGCCTAGCAGCTTCCTAAGGTCACCTACAGTTTCTGGTCTCTTTTCGCTGAGGGACTTGACAGCAGCTACATCAGAGGGGTCTAATTAACCTATGGCCATCTGCTGATACAAGTCGTCCAAGGTAGCGTACCTCACTCTGGAACAGCTCGCACTTGTTTGGTCGTAGCTTGACACCATGGATCTGCATACGCTGCAGGACCTTCTGTAGGTGTCCCAGATGATGCTGGAAGTCGTCGCTGAATACCAATACATCATCTAGATACGTCATGGCAATCTCTCCATTTAGACCATCTAGGCAGGTCTCCATAAACCTTTGAAAGACTGCGGGTGCATTGGTGAGACCAAAGGGTATTCTGACCCACTCGTAAAGTCCCCAAGGAGTGATGAAAGCTGTGAGGGGGCGACTCTCTTCAGACATGAAACCCTGGTGGTAGGCTTTCCCTTGGTCAAGGGTTGAGAACCAGCAGTTGCCCCCAAGGCTGTCCAGCACATCCTTGATTCTTGGAATTGGTTGACGATCAGGAATAGTTTTCCTATTCAGCTCCCTGTAGTCAACGCACAGTCTCAGGCTCCCGTCCTTCTTACGGACACAAACCACCGGTGATGAGTAAGGTGAAGTAGATTTGGCGATCCATTCACGGCTGATTAGTACCTCTTGGTACAGGGGGCGGGGCATGGACATGTAAGTCTTTCGGACTGGCGTTGTATCGTTCAAGTCGATCTTCATCTTTAGGTCAGGAACACTACCCAGGTCGGAGTCATCCTTTGCAAAAGCTGCCGAATTTTCTTTGAGGAGTTTCTCCACTGCAGCCTTCTGGAGAGGTAGTAGGTGACTCAGGTCAACTGGTGGTATCCATTGGTCATCACTGGTTATACTCGAAACTGTAGCTTTTCCGCTGTTTGTGGGGCAGTTGCGTTGGGATGTTGTCCACTCCTTGAAAGTGGATGGCTCTATCGGGTAGACAGAATGGACCAGCTGAATATGGCCCAACAGGCTCCGTCGTCTCAGAGTAATGTCTCTGTCAGTGGTGTTCGTCACTCGAATGATGAAGGGACAACAGGTACCTGGCGTTAGACTGACTACTGACTCTTCAACTTGAAGACCTTCAGGCCACTGACGTTCAACATCTGGCTCAAACAGTCCCGTAATCTTGCAGTCTAGTGGTCCTGCACGGGTCCGACACCGCACACCGACACTGCTCTGTTGGGGTATTACGATGTCTTGTCGTCCCGATTTGACACTGCACACTTCTTCCGGGTCATTTGTTTGGATGAGTTGAACTAACTTTTCAGCTCTACTCTGTTGCAAGTTCTTCATTGCACCACCAAGAATGCAGCTCGCGTCTTTGCCGGAATGCTGCACAACCATCTCGATCACGTTGTAGCCTATGATGGGATGCTGTAGCTGGTTCTTGGTGACGAGAGCGGGGAAAGCTACTGGAGGGCACATCTGTGGTGTCCTCATCTTTAACTCAATTTCTACCCATCCTTCAAATGGGATCTGTGTGCCATTAGCAGCTCGTAGGTCAAGCTTGCTCTCATGTTCCAAAACTTCGGAAAGTGAACGGACAGATGTACTGGGTAGGTTGTCCTGATGCCAATCAGTACTTATCAGTGAAACTTGGGCTCCAGTATCCCATAATACTGTCGTGGGCAAACGGTTCAGGAGGCAATCAACAGTACATCTGGGGCCGACAAGGTTTGTCACTTTCCGATGTTGTCTTGGGGTAATGTGGCAGATGAAAGTTCTGTTATGGTCAGGATTCTGTGGGATTGGTTGGGACGCTGTTACAGACCTGGTTACACCCTGTCCCGTGGGTGCAACCCATCGTCGTTTCCCTGGCGACGTTGTGTGTTTCCTTGACGACAGCCACGTGTGAAATGGTCTGGCGATCCACACTTAAAGCAGTTGTCACAGGATGAGCCAGTGCCATCTTCCTCGCACTTCCTGCAACCGCGTCTAGTGGAGGGTCGGAGTGAGGGGGCTCGTCATTGGGGATGTCTTGTCGGGGCCTTCTGTAGCGTTTCAGTCAGGGCGGCGACCTGTGTCTTCAGGGCCACGAGCTCTGCCATCCCAGCCTGTAACTCTGCTATCTGTGTTGTCAGCAGTCCTGGCTTTGGTTGAGATTTTGGTGCAGGCTCGTTCTCCTGAAGCTGGTTGACAGCGACTGGCCTTGCGAGATGAAGTTTCTTTCGCCGTTCTGCTTCCAAACTTGAGCTCACGCTCAACTTTTCGAAGACAGTTTCGTCGGTCAAATCTGGGTCGTCTAGATGAGGGCGTAACTCAGCTTTGATACTGTCGCTCCTCAAACCTGTCAAGACGGCATGCCGGAACATGTTCTGCACGAGAATGGGGTCATAAAACAGTCCAGACTCTGCCTCTTGACTGGCAAAGACGACCTTCTGTCTTAGGTCAAGCGCCTTCAAGAGAAATGCCTGAGACGACTCCTTCGGGTCCTGGGCAAGTTGCGCCAGCTCTTTGTACAATTCCGTGGCGTCCCTCTCTTGGTAATGGCATCTCAGAATGCGGCGAAGACTCGGCAATGTGATTTGTCTGCGTCCCTCCAGGTAACTCCGCAGCGCTGCTCCCGGCACAATAGCTCGGATTACGCCTTGGACGACTTCACTGTCCGGTACCCCTTCTCACGACCAGTCTCAATTTGGTGTGCCAGGCTGGTAAATGTCAGCCTGTCCTTCTGGCCGGGTTCTCCGATCTGTCCAAAAATTTTGAATTCACGACGCATTAGACTCAGGACTTCTGGTCCCACAGTTGGTTGCTCGGATTTAGCGGGGACCAACTTCAAAGGGGCTGGCTGGACTTCCAAAGGTTCGTCTGAAGAGTCAGGCTTTGCACTCTTGGCTGAGACAGCTGCCTCATCCGGAACAACCTCGGGGCCAGCAATTCCATCGATGAATCCGTCCAGTCCTTGGAGCAGCTCAATTCCTCCATCGGCGCGATCTAGGACTTCATCACTGTACGTGTTCTGCACCAGCCTCTGATGACCATTGACTTTCTCTGCCGTATCTCCGGTCTCCAGCCCCAGGTGCTCGCATACTCCAAGGAGCTTTTGAGTGGAAAGGACACGTACTCTGGCATTGACCTTCTCGACAACTTCCAGGATATCCATGTTGTTCACTTGATAGACAGCAACGATGGTCGTGGTGACGTCACTGGGGTCGAGTCGTGACAGCGGCTTGAGGCAATCCCTGTTGAGGCGATCCCTCCTCTCGCTGGTGGTACACCCTGGTCTCGCACACCCAGTCAACTCGCTGGTCCCGTCGGCTGTCTAGATGCCGTTTACTGTTGCATCTGGTCTTGGTTCGTTTCACTGGATAGGCGCATTTGGTCTACTGTAATTCTCGTCAGACACGCCTACCCCTCTCGTGCCTCCAAATGTTACACCCGTGTAATTGCAAGAGATGGCACTTACGAGAGTTACATTAAAATGATGAAGTTGGTGACCCTGCATGTAAGAAATAATGGAGAGTTGTCAGCCAAAGATACAGAAATGCATGAGGACAACTTTATTGCAGATGTTGGCAGGGTCATTGCTTGTAAGAACAAATCCAACAATACATTTAAAATACAAGTATAAAACCTAAGTAAAACACAAATTCTAGTTAAGAAACACGAAATGCAAAAGACCAATTCCTTCTACCAATATCGATTAATTGTGACACACTTGTATAATCGATATCTAATATATTGTTACGAACCCAGATTGCTTGATTATGGAAATCTAGCGCCCTCTGGATTCACTCTGTCCATGAAGTACACAATCTTATTGTTGTCTTTTATAGTTCCTGTATTTTACCCATTTATCGTAAATTGCCAACTTGCACTTTTATTCCCAGGGTCTCTTACCAAGCACAGCGCATGATGCAATACCACGCGCGCTACTGTATGCATTATTCATGTAGCGATGTACATGTGCGCGACTGACCACACCTCCCTTCGCCCCAGCGAGCTAAGTTCCTTTCCCCATAGCATGCGTGCTTTGGCGTTCTCCGAGAGACTGCTCAGCGGCACGGAGCGTTTCTCTCCCCCGTGTGTTACCCATGAACTCTAACGGGAGTTCTCGGTCCCGTTTTCCAGTCCCGTACTTAGCTTGAGGGAATGGAATGTTACCTTGCGTGGTCGCGTAGCTGGGCGTGGTAAGACATCCTGTGATGTAAATAACCTGTGACACAGTAACCTTTTAGCTTGTCACTCACTCCATCAAGGTTGCTCGAGATGTTGTGTAAACACTTTTGCACTCTGATCTAACTATTTGCACACATCTCTCTCTGTATTTGCACACTTCTCTTTCCATGTTTTCCCTTATGTAAATGCACACGTTTCTAGTCTCTTGCACTAGGCACTCTTAGTAAATCATGTGACTAGTCATGTGACCCTTAGACATGGAAGATTACTATTGGTTAATTCCTAATCAGTGCTCATGCATTATTTAATCCCGAGACTTCTACTGCCTATAAATACCGGAGGTTTTCCTCACTTTCGGCAGTGCGGCGAACCACGAAACCAATGTAGTGCGAACGAACCCTAAACCCAAAGTTGTACGGCGAACTTATATGTTGTGCGGTAAATCGTATGATGTGCGATGAACTCGACTCTGAGACACCAATTGTTGTGCGACTCTTGTCACTACGAAGCATCGGCCTCCCTTGGTGGTTGAGGCGCGGTGAAGTAATAGTGCAATCACTAGTACTAGTGTTATTATGAAGCATCCTTCTCCTAGATCCCTCGAGGAGTGTGTAGAAGCTGGTGAAATAGTAATACACTAGTCCCAATGGTGCTGTGCGGTTTCGAATGGCCATTGGACTGCTAGTCTTAGCTTGAACATGTTGTGCGGTTGTCTGGTGTTCTAGCCCAGCCAGAGCTAGTTCATCCCCGTCACCACAGCGGACCGCTCCCGCTGTGGTCAGCCGGCTCCCCGTAGCCATTCCCCCCGTAGTTCAGCTATGCTAGCCCGGTCTTGTCATAAACACTATCCTTGGTGCATAGTGCCACGATTGACCTTGGATACCCAATACGCCACATGCACACTTTGGTTCGAACTGTAGTGCGGCCTGGTACACTTGCTGGCCCCGTCCAGTTGCCGTTGCCTCCCCGGTCACCGCAGCGGTCCGCTCCCGCTTCGGTCAGACCGTCGATAACCCGTACCGTGCCGGTGCCCACTCAGTTCGTATTGGTTGACATGGTTTTGCCATTGTACATAGTACATGTATAGACTTTGTAGACGCCAACCTGTTATCTCTATAACGCTACCAAAGACTATCAAAAGGAGAAACCCTATAGGTTGATGAAATCTAACAAAGTTATGTAAAGTGAAGAGATGAATAAATCAGTGTGTTGACATGTGTGACTGTCACCCCAAAGCTCTGTTTCCCTCCAACTTATTGAATTATTTTTGACTCTAATAATGTTTCATGAACTGCTATTAGGGAACGCAACAATATCAATGGAACACCATATTGATACTGACTCTGGTGATAATCGATATCTTTACTACTGACATACACGTCCATACATACATGTATGCCCATGTCACTGCAACATCGCACAGCCCTACTGCTCCATGCACAGGATGCAGAGATAAACAATTGAGGATTAACTCTGGTTGAGCAAACAAGACTCACACAGGCCCCAGCATGGTCTTGACTGGTCCATGTGCATGTCTCAAGATTCCTTTGTTCTAAACTAAAGGCAGTACATGAGGCAAAATCAAAGATAACTTAACTTTTAACTAAAATATTGTGGCGAATCCCGTCCGGGTCAAGTTTGACTCGGTACTGCACAGGCGAGCGGCAGCCCTACAGCACTGTGGGGGAGGTCGTTTGGCAACCATATATCGCCGCGCGCAACACTTTTTCCCGGGACCCTATGGAGCGGAAATAAATACCAGGCAGAGCAGCGCAGGAACCCAATAATCTGACAAAGAGAGAGATCACTCAAGAGCCGCGGGGTTTTCCCTTTATTATAACTAAGACGCCTTAATCACTTCAGTTAAGTTGCAGATTCCTTAAGGGATTGCTGTTCCTTAAGGTATAGCCTTGAGGTTCCTTAAGGGTTTCCTGTATCCTTAAGGGATATAATCGAGTTTCCTACTGAGCCTTAGAATTACTGATAGAGAGGTTTATTACTGAAGGCACTTAATAGAAATTATTACTGAATGTGATAACTTGTGGGGAGGTTCAACAATATCGGTCCTGAACTGTGCTCGTCACTAACTTTATCAAATACGTCAGCTTGACATACCCTGCGCTATGAGCTGCTGCAACTAGATTCGGCAAACCGCCGCCGCCACGGACTCTCTGACACGGCTCCGACAGTCCCGCTGTCTCGGACACTCCGATCAGCCTCTCTCACGCTGCTCTGGGATCCGGCAGTCGGTCGCTATACCGCTCCGCCTCGCTGCTACCAGCTCCCACTACACACCAACAGCAACGCTGACGCACACAAGCCTAGCGCCCTACAACAACTCTCTTAGAGCTCCGCCGTCACACGTCTCTTCAGTCCGCTAGCTCCACAGCAACTCCCGCCACGTACACACACGAGGCACAGCGCGCGCAAAACAGCTCAAGGTCACCTAAGCAGCCCACTGCGCATGCTCAGCAAGTATGGCACGCCTCAGCGCTATGACGCGCGAAAGCTACAAGCACTCAGGCCAATTTCGTTACACAGCCCCAACCTTAAGTTCGGACCGTCCCGGTCCGTTAAACTGAAAAACAACCAAAACGAAATTAACTGAGGTGCCATCTTATACAATGAAAATATAAAGTTCACTTATACACAAAATAAGCACCTTTACCTTTAAGGCTACTGTGGTCTCCTTAAGGGAAATTTAAAGAAAGGTAAGATTCTGAGGTTCCTTAAGGGAGTGTCCAAAACAAATCACACCTGATACGGCTTTATCAAAAATAGACAAGGATCCACTTTCTCCTTCAGGGAGTTTATACACATGAAATACAATCACAACATACCTCAAGGACGTCTATATAATCAAAAGTAATTACCCTGCTCCTTGAGGGAGTTTACACAAAGATCATCAATAAATACAGTATTCCTTAAGGGAATGCGGTAGCTAATGAAGGCAAGATCGGTCTCTTTTTTTAACAAATATACTCTCTTATAAAACTTTTACACTGTTCCAAAACTAAGTTAAAAACAACAATGTAAACCTTAAGAAAACCTAAACTCTACTTGAGGATGAAACCGGCCGTAAACTCCACATCGTAGGTCCTCTCTACGACCTCTTCAGATACCTTCAACCCATTCTGAAACTGGCTCCTGGTGCTGACCTCCTTCACTTGACGAACATTCCCGGCCATCATCACTTCCAGATCAGCAGTATCGATCGGACTCGCCCGTCGCCACCCAGGGTTGCCACTACTGACCCTGCATACTCTGGCTCGTGGTGGTTCCTCCAGTGCTGACGTCTTGGCCTGCCCGTCGGCTGAATATCTGTGGCAGGTGGAAAGGTGCGTTTCCGAAGATCCCCCTCCTGATACCGTAGAGAGCTTCCCTGAAGTGCTCGCCCAAGGTTAACAGAAATAGAGGCGTCGTCGTTGAGGTCTGTTTCCTCCCCGTCGCTAGCTTCTGCCTGGACATCCTGCCTCATTGACATCATCCCTTGTGGTTTCCCTCCATATACCATCCTGCGTCGCGGCTCCACGCTGTCGAGCAGAGACACGGAAGCTGGTGACAAGGATATCCCAGCCACATCATCTATCTCTAACTCCCTGCCAGGTGTCAAGGGGACCTGAGTTTCTTCCTCCTCGGCCTCCTTCTTCTGCGGTTCCCTCGGTGGCTTATCAACACTCTTAACTTCCGTTCCCATCCCCTTTCCTGCCGAGGGGGCAGCAAAAAGACTCGTCTCTTCTTCAGGTTCACCTGACCTCATTGCTCGTTTCTCTTCCTTCTTCCGGCCCTCCTTTGCCGGTCTGTCGACGGTTGCAGTCTCGGGTCTCTTCCTCTTCCGTCCGGAGGGGGCAGAAGAAGTACTCGGTACCTCATCCGAGTCTTCAGACTGCTTTGCTGCTTTTCTTTCCTCTTCCGTCTCAGGGTATACGCTTTTCAGGTCATCCATTCCTGCGGGGTGGTGATTGTGATAGTGCACTCTAAGGTTGTCCTTCCTCCCGTATCTCCTGTCGCATCTTTTGCAGAAGTATAGGAGGCTCTTCTTCTTGTTGTGAGTTCCGAGATGGTTGTCCAGGCTCCTCTTACTGATGAATGTGTCTTCACACTCAGAGCATGCATATACCTTCAAGGTACTCCAGTCCTTTGGCTTCTTCCAACCTGCCTTGGGATCCTCCATCCTCCTTTAAAGAAAGCAAAAGAAACAAAACGAAAGAACAGTTACTTCACTGTAGCTACCCAACTTCTTAAGTAGTCCTAGAACTAATCGATCTCCCTTAGATTCCTGAGCTATTTACAGATAGCGCTGTGGCTGCCGTCGCTGGC